CTGAGTGGATGCTGTCACTGGGTGTCAGGGGGAGAGGGCATCATCTCTCTTCCTTTTCCCCTCCCTGACCAGCTGGAACTGTGCCGTGTGACCATCCGATCTAATTAGCTGAACTTTCAATCTTGACAGAAGGAGGCTTTAAAAAGAAGAAAAACCTCTAGCTTTCTTGGCTTTCAGCCTCTGGAAAGATGATGGAGAATATCTGATTGCAGAAAAGTCGAGGGCCAGCTCCGTGGTTGCCATTGCCAGGGGCAATCAAGTGAGAGCTGAGACCTCCAGCTTCCAAACACCAAGAGGAACGGGCCTACTGCACTGAGCCTCAGGACTGCACCCTGTGCGGCTGCCCAGAATCCCTGCTGATCAGACCAGGGAGTAAGAAAAGGTCACTCTTCTCACCCCTTCCCGTGGGTGCCTGCCCAGGTGGGCACCTTCCAAGGTGCCCCCTGTCAGCTGCTCTGGGGTCACGGGGAGCCCCAGGATCAGCTCCACTCCACACCAGCTCCTTCTTGCAGAAGAACTGCAAGAAGTGACAATGTCTTCCCAGGCGTTCCCTGTGTTCTCAGCCTCCTGGCCATCTAGTCCCTCGCAGGCCACACATCTCTCTTCCCCTACCACTGAGCAGCACCCAGGCACCCAGCTGAGCAGACAGGGCATGCCAAAGCAATGCCAGCAGCAGGAAAAGCAAAACACAGCCCCTTGCCATGGCCTCAGCAGTGAACTACTGAGCGTGAGAAGCCTTAGGGACATTGTCCAATAAGAAGAGGAAGAGGTACCATTTAAGATGCCCCTGCAGTGCCAGCTTCTTGACCACTGCTAGTCTGACTCTGTCATATTAAAATATTGAACCAGCTCACCCAGCCAAGCTCACTTCCTGCAGACACTCTCCCATCCTCACTGACCCAGTGACAATCCTGTCCTTCCAGGCCTGGATGCGGCAGGAGGATCTGGGTCAGGAATGAGGCAAACCCAGAGCCCCCAGATACTGGGCAGACACCACTCTTGGGGTCAGTGAGACCTGGAGGGAGGCAGCAGCTAGGTAGGAAGGCAGGTAGGCTCCCGGGAAGATGGCCAGGCCTGGGTAGGCCAAGGCCATGAGTCCCAACTCAGGAAGGAGTAGGACTTCTCCCAGGGAGCTCCAGGGTGGAAGGAAGAACACGGCACCTCACCATCTAAGCTAAAGTCAGATCCCTGCCACTGAGCCACCCACACAACTCAGCATTTGAACCTCATACACAAAGAGCACCCCAAACACACACACACACACACACACACACACACAGAGGTTCGGTTCTCTGGCCTTTACCCTCCATGGTAATTATTACCTCTTTATAGTTGGACTTTTAAGCCTAATGGCCTACAGATAATCTCATTTTTTTAAATTTTATTGAGGTAACACTGCTTTACAGCACTGCATGTGATTCAGAGGTATAGGACTGCATCTGTTCAGATATGTTACCACTTCACACACACCACCAGACACCTACAGTCCTCTACCCTAGTCCATTACCCTCCCCCACACCCTGCTCCCCAGCCAGCCGCCCCCTCACTACCCCCCCAGCCTGAATTCTACAGTCAGACTTGCAGGGTATGTTACCGGTTTGATTCTGCCTGACCCACTCTATAGTCCACATATGAGTAAAACCACCCCGGATTAGTCTTTCTCCTTCTGACTTCTTTTGCAAAGTACCATGCCCTCTAGTTCCATCCGTGTTGTCGCAAATCCCATGAATTCATTTTTTTAACAGCTGAGTAGTATTCAATGTGTATATATTCGATGTGTCCCTAATCCACTCATCTCTCCTTGGGCACTTAGGTTGTTTCCATAACTTGGCCATTGCAAATAGCGCTGCAGTGAACACAGGAGGGTAGCTTCAAATTAGCATTTTTGCATTCTCCAGTAGATACCTAGGAGTGGAATTGTTGGATCATATATGTAGTTTTATTCTTTTACCTGCTACTCACCTGACCATATGGTGACTAAACTCTCAGAAAATTCCCATTGGTGGAGGTCAATATTCGAAATCCACAGCATAATTTTAAACCAAATCATGCTTTTCCTACTTGGAAATTCTTTTCCCACATCAATGGCCAATGACCACATGCAAATTCCTGATGACAAATGTGTAATCTGAGTTTAACCAAAGTCTAAAATATTTTCAAGAAGTGTCGGGGATGGGGGTAATCAAATGTCATTACTTGCACAAAATTTATCTGAGAAAAATTACAGAATATAAGCTACTATGGTCAAATTATAAAATGATAATCAATCTAGCATCAAATGAATTTATTTTGATCCCATTAAAAGCCTTAAAGAATACTGGACTCTCAAGTAAAAATAGAGTGCAATTTTTTTTTTTAAATAATTTCCAAAGATGAATCATGGGCATTTTCAGAATCTTTGATAGTCTCTACTTTATTTCACAGGGGCTCATGGGCCCACTACCTCACTGATGTCAACAATATCTGACCCTTGAAAATGAAAAGTGACACCTACTGTGCTTCCCCATTATGCCAGCATGGCCAATGACACTTAGCACCACCTTTAAATGTGACAGATGCTCACCTGGCCTCCAGCTAAAAATAGCTATCATCGATGTCAGGAATGGCAACTGTTCTTGGCCAGTTTAATAGCCCATCAAGCCACCCTGTGAAAGAAGCAGATGGGACCCCCACCAAAGGGACACCCCCAACTTCACTCCCAGACTTCTGCACCTATCAGTCCTTGAGATGGCTTTTATCAGTTAAAAATAGATCTTAGCTCCCAATTCACTGCAGTAGCCACACAATTCCATTCTGTGAAACCCAACAGCACTCTAGCTTGGGGATGAAGCCCCTAGAGAGAACCAGGCTCGAAGAAGATTCCACAAAGCTTAGCAGAAGCCTCTCTCTCCTCTTTGCCAAGACCACATGATGCATCTGCAGTGATGCTGAGATGGGTAAACGATTTGAATTGCAGGCATCCGGTGTGTGTGCCCTCACCAGAAGCGCTACCAGGTTAACCCAAAGTGTATCTGTGCAATGGACACTAGAATAATTCTCCTTCTTCCTGAAAAACTTGCACCAACTATCCTAATTGCGCAAAACAATTATACTAAATTGCAATTATGGCATTGCCTTAATTTGCTTTGTGAATGTACCACTCTCTCCTCCACCTTCCTCTGCCTGCAGGCAGGAACTCCTCACAAGCACTCCCTGCAGCTTGTTTGCTCTATGTATCTGATACAAAAAGAAACTCAGTAACTTTGGTTAAAATTGAGTGAATTTGAATTATAGTCAACAACTTCCTCTTGGATTCTATTATGAGGCCCCAAATTTATATTTAAGTGCTTAATCAACAAAGATTATCACGAACATCCCTAATTTAGGGTTCTTTAATTGACCCTACCACACCAATGCAATGGGGGAAATAAGCAGTCACCGTCAGGTATTTATATATTTTGCTCCTTACATGTATCTTACATGTATACATGAAAAAAATGAAATTAATAACCCTGATTGCTAGTGTCTCTATGGCAAATCTCACATTAAAATTAGTGAGTATATGGGATGCTTAGCTCGGCACACGTGCTTTGAACACTAGTTGTCGTGCTGAGTTTGTCACTGTCTCTAGTAATGATAAAGTTTTGTAGGGGCAACAGCTTGGCTTTGGTAACAACCATCCACACACCTGGCCACAATCTTTCTCCTGAAATAAACAAATGATTGCTCTGCTTTGTTTAATTTTACTTGTCCCACTCACCTCCCAACCCCAAGCTATGGCTGTGTGGTTAAAAAACAAACCAAAAATGGGGGTCACCCTGGTGGTGCAAAGGATTAAGCACCGCACTATGAAGCAATCCACAGCCTCTGCAGCACAAGTTTGATCCTGGGCCAGCCAGGGAGCAACCCACATGGCGCAGCAGACCTCTCCTGGCTCACCCACTGCTCCCCTCAGCAATCATTTTGGTCAATCGGCCTGTTCTGTTCCCCACTCTGTCTCTGGTGAATCTTCTCATCCCCCACATCTCTGGCCTGTACCCCAGCTCTTGTATGCATAAATAAATCTTTAAAAAGAAAGTGGGGTACACCTGGCGAACCCAATACGCACCACACAAAACCAGGCAGCAATAAAGACCATCACATATAAATGTAAATTGAATCTTAACTTTGTGGCATTATGTGAAAAAAGCTGGGCTAGGAAAGAAATGACAAGATGAACAGACGAAGCATGGAGCTTACGCACAGCGACAGAACGTTCATGGCAGCAAGAGTAGCGCCTTCCCACACAGACAAGAACTGTAGGCCCCATGGAGCAGAAGCATAAAAGTAGCCAACTAATAACTCTGCTCATCAAATCACCCTCTCATCCTAATTTAAGGGTGAAGATCCCTGACCAAGAAATTCTCCAACTTTTGCTCACCAATTGCCGGAACCCCAATTCCCAACGCCTACATCCTAAGAAATTTGCTGAGGACTAAATCCTACCCCTGAGTGACCCTGCCCCACACATATTCCCACTGCAAAGCAGGCTGCACCCACCAGCCTGTCTCAGCCATACAAAGAACGCCGGGGGGAGGGAGGGAGGTGGCCACAGTAATGCCCAAGCAACCTGGGACATCCTGGGGAAAACCCCAGCAGTCAGTTCAGTCAGGCAGGTAAAATCTCCAGGGGTTGGTAGGGAGCAAAATCATTGACTGCTACCTATTTGCTGGATTGGAGTTATTTCTTTTCATTTTGGAAGCAAACTTCTCACATCTGTAATACAACCCAAACCAGCCAGGGCATTCTGACCCACAGACATAGGCACCTTAAGGAAGTGTCGCCATGTTCTGAGGCCCACCTCAGGCCTCAGGAGGAGCTGTAGATGGGCATCCAAACCTCCACACTTCCCAAAGGTCAAAGATCAAAGCCAAAGAAAGCAGCTCAGGTGTACTTACGTAGGGCGTGCCACTCATCCTGGCGGATGGTCTTCGTGATGTTGAAAGTGAGGTTCCTGGGGATGGTGGCTGAGGAGTAGTGGTATTTGATGTACGTGCATCGCTCAATTTCTCCTGGAAAAGAGAGACAGAGAGCCAAATGTCAATGAGGTCGCCACCATGTCGGGGCAATTGCTGGGACCCATATTTCCTTCCTGGGGTAAGGGTCTCATTTCATATTGGGCCTAGGGACACCTACAGTTTATACAAGGCAGTAATGTTGATTCAAAAACAGCAAGAGAATAGAACTAAAATCAAGCACCATTGATTTCAATTAATGGGCCTCTAGGATCATCAGAGGTGGAGGAGCCAAAGTTAGGCTGATAGCTTGCCAAGAAGGTAGTAGCCACGCATGTTGAACCTTTAGAAAACCAACTTTCAAGTCAAGGGGAGATGTTTGGCATCGAAAGACATTAGCAGCTTGACCAACAGACCCACAGAGAGCCCCGTGATGTCATTTGTGCTTCGAGCACTTGCTGTCTTGTGAACAGCGAGTGAGAGGGGACTTCTCCTCTTTACTCATCCTCCCCAACATCACCACCAAACGCAAGCACCCAAATCAGTCTGTACATCTGTGCCAGTCTCTTCTCAGGAGTCTCAGATGAAATGTAGGCCCCTTGAACCATGAACTCTTGGTCCAACAGGACCTGTACTGATAAGCTGTTATTAATCAATGTAGTCTTCGCTCTTCAAATGATCAAAATAGTCCTGTATCTTAGCACAGCACATGGCCCTGAGGCCAAAGCATCAGCATTCCCTGGGAAATTGCTAAAAATGCAATTTCTCAGGCCTCACCCCAGATCTACTGAATCAGAAACTTGGAGGCAGAGCCTGCAACCAGAATTTTAATAAGCCCTCCAGGTATCTCCATTGCGCACTTAAGTTGGAGAACTGCCACCGCAGAGAAGCTAATAGAATTGCCAATGTAGTCATTCATAAATCCACCACGTTTGCAAATTCCAGAAAAAAAGGAATGATTAGGAGTTCGCCTTGTTACGTTTGGCCTCCTGTAGGTAATCCTATTGTCCCTTGCTCATCTAGGGGATTTAAAACTTGGTGTCAAGACCTTGGGAGGAATCAGAAAAGGAGTGATTTTTAAGGGTAAGGGGTTTTAAAATCTGGTTTTGTACCTGAATGGATTTTGATGGCCATCCATTCTGCACCCCACTGATTCCCAATTTATAAGTGGTGGTCCTTGGTTGAATGGTGCGACCCCTGGCTCGCTGTCAGCAGGGAACCTGGTGACTGGAGGAGTGCCGGCATGTAGCCAGTGGCCCACATGAACCCGTGCCTTATTGCACATCCCATCTGGACAACTGCCCAACTGCCAGGACTGGCAGACACTCCTGCAACGGGACAGACACTGGCCGAAAAGGGAAAGAGTCATGCACGTTTTCACTTTTACTTCTAATTCTTCAACTCCTCTGCCTCTGCCCCCTAGCCTACTAACCTCCTGAAATCTCTTCCCATGCCCTGCCTACCCCCTGAGAACCTCCCCCACCAGGTCCTCCTTCTACCCTAATGTGCTGTACTTCTGAATAAGTCATCAACACTTGATCTCCTTGTCCTCAACTCACATTCACACCACAAACCCGCGGCCTCTAATTTCCATCATCTAATACCATCATCTCCCATCAGATCTACAACATCGAAAATCCCACCATCAATGCCCCCCCACCTCTCCCTCTCAAATGGCACCCCTCCCTAAATATCTAAGTGCCCACCAACCCTGTCAGTCTTGCTTTAGATATCCCAGAATCCGGCCTCTCCTCTCCACCTGCGCCCCTTCAGCGGCAGCTGAACAAAGACAATGACCAATCTCAACCCACAGCCACATTCACCGGGGACTCACCAGGAAAACCAGACCTGCCAGGCGCTGCAGACCAGTGGCCTCCGCTTCACTCATGCCATGGTGCACACAGAGAGCGGGTATGCAGCAGCAGATGGGCTGCTGGGAACCGTGCAGCCTCGTTAAGGGCAGAAGGAACCAACTCACCTCCAACCCACTCGTGTTCTGTGCTGTCCGGCCAATGGGGCACTGCCACGGTTTTGCCTTACTTAATTCTTTATATAAACCAACTAGGCCAGCCTCATTGTTATCTTCATCCCTATTTGGTAAATAAGGAAATGGAGGCTCAGGAAGATGAAGTGGCTTGCCCAAGGACCTGGCAGTGCCAGGATTAGAACCCAGGACTGGCTGACTGGAGTCTCCCTCCACCAGACCATAGCAAACACTGCTACTTAGAGCACATTCCAGAAAGGAAATCGGAACCCTGTCACCACCCAGCTCAAAGGCCTTCACTGGCCTCTTCGACAAACAGAATAAACCCCACAATCTTCTGACAGAAGGACCCTCAGCCCAGCCTCTGTTTTTGTACTTTCTAGAGATCAGGTTGGTTTACAACACTGCACCTGATTTAGGGGCCTAGAGTCACGCCTCCTGAGATGAACGCTCCCACGCCATACCCACCACCAAAGCACCCCAGCTCCTTTTTGGCCCCAACTGTCACACAACCTCGAATCCTCCTAGCCATCCTCTTACCATTCCAGAATGTACTGTATCCTATCATGGCTCCTCCCTGCCTTTCTTCACCTGAAACACACCGACTTGCCCCGATAGGAGGCCCAGACGGCAGTCCCTCAGCAAAGCGCCCCCGGGGCCTAGGAGGCACCCAGCAGCGTGCAAGCAGGCACCCCCCTCTGGCCTTCCCGTGCCTACCCTGCTGTGGCACCTACACCTATGTGACCGATCTGCTCACACGTCTTCCTCCCCCTCTAGATTATGAGCCTCACAAGGGCAGGGACTTGTCTTATTCATTCATCACTATGGGCCTGGCCCCCAGCTCAGGATAAGCGCCAGTAACACGTGCGTTGAAGAGAGGAATGAGGAGCAGGGAGCTCCCTTTGCAAGATCACAGTGGGCAAGAGCTCCAATGCTTCTTTTATACCCCAGAGGTTGAAACAACTGAGATAAATTAGAATGTAATGAATAAAGGAGGGCACTGCAGAGTCTGTGATCACACAGGCGGAGGCTCAGCAACCACAGCGACACGGAAGAAACCGCATGTGAGCCCAGAGCTCTCGCTTCATTTTGTAAATGTAATTCAAGCGCAACTAGGTCAATGGGATGGTGGGGGTGGCGGGAAGGACGTATAAAGGGTAGAGGGCTGTAATGAGAATACCATCAGCACCTACCCTGGACATGGACCGTTGCACAGGTTGTGGCCTGCACAAGGGACACCTGGGTGCTGAAATCTGGCTGCTGCTCTGCTTGCCAAGTCCTATACCCTGTCTGGGCATGGGGATGCCCCTGCCAGAGGAGCGGCCTTTGTCAAATTGGCAAAAAGGTGTCATATAAATTAGTGGCTCCCCTTCCTTAATAATTTCAAGAGCAAACAAAAAACTCCCTGGACCCAGCTTTGGAGACACAAAACAAGATCCCACGGGTACCGGCCAGATGGGTGCCTGGCACTTGAGTCTGAGAGAAGTACCTGATTTCTTGGCTAAGATCAGCTTCTCTCAGTCTCAAAACAAATCCCACAAGTGGCCACAGGTTCCAGGCAGCTGCAGGCTGCTGCCTCAGCCTTCCCTGGCCCCAGCCCACCAGCCAGTGAGGAAAGAGACCACATGCACTTGGCAGGAGCAAGCAGCTGATGACAGGCATGGCAAGTGGCCGGCCAGGGAGCCCGGATGCATCTCCAGAGCAGGCCCACCAGAGGCCTCACTGTTTGCTTCGCCTCAGGGAGGCAAGCATCCTGCCTTTGACAGCAATTAAACTTGAAAGAATCAAATATTGCCTAAGAAGAAAGGCAAAATATTTATCCATGTGTCTGCAGGTCCTGTCAGTGTGCTGGGCTTTTGTAAACACAGGCACCATCTGGGCACCAAATTCCTGTGCCCAGAAAGGGAGCTTCCCACTACAAACAGGTTTTCCTATAACAAATGGTACAAAGGGGAACCTGGAAGACAGTGGAGAGGCCCATGGCCTTACCAGGAAACTAAATCAAATCCACCTTCCCAAACTCCTGAGTCTCAGCCCAGTGATAGGACTTGCCCTAGGGAGCCTGGGAGGCTGGTGGAGAGACAGCAGGGATGGCCCCCTCAGGACACTTACACTCTCGGGCACACTCTGCCTTCTGAGCTGGTGACCCTCCTGCCTGCATGTTGGGGTCCCCACCAGATGAGACACTCAAATGTGACACTGAGAAGTTTCCACAAAAGATTTACAGTGGGTGGAGGAAGCCAACAAAGATAGCGCAGGGACCTGGCCACAGAAGGAGCTAGCCCCTCCCTCTCCTGAGGCCTGAGGGACAGAGGAGGAAGCCACCACAGAGCTGGAAAGAGGATCCTTTGGTGAGGTGCAGGAAAGGACACCCCACCTCTCGCTCCTCCTCCTTCACCTCTGGCCAGCCCCACCCAGCAGCCAAACCCAGCTGGAAGGGCCAGCCTCCAGACCACAGAGCAGGAGGTAGGCTAAGACTGTATTCCAGGGGCAAACAGAGGCAGGCACTCACATTCCCTCTCGTCATTCTTCTTGCACTCACATCTCCCCAATCTGCTCCCCCTCTACACTCATCACCTCAGCTTTTCCTCCGTCCAATTCCAGCACATCCTCCCTTTCTCAAAGTCTTCTGCGGCAAAGGAAGACCCAGAAGCATGGAACGGGGGAGACTCTACTCAGACTTTTCTGTTGTTTCAAATCCTTTAAGACCCTCGATGTCCGGTGTAACAACTCACATCAACTACTAAGTATGGTTCCTGCCTTTAATAAGTGCTCAATAAATAGCAGTTACTATTTTCAATTGCTGCCCTAAGACTACTGACTCTAAGTGGGCAGGAACACAGCAACTGGGAAGTACTATTAGCCAGCCTGCCTCACGCCAGGCACATGTGCATACACTACAGCATGTGAGGTTTCCCACACAGTAACCTAGGGCTGGCCAAGCGAGAGCTCGACATACGCTGGGTCTGAGGACCTGTGAGGACACAGGGCCTGGAAGGGGTGTGGCCAAGGTGGTGCATGAACACTCAATTCCAGACTTTCCTCAGATGCTTCAACACCACCACCAGGTGAC